AAAGAAGGGTTATGTTAGGGATGAGTAGATCTGTACAAAGGGGAGAGACAGCCGAACTTTGATAATATTTGCTTATATACTAGTGTAAGATGAATCTTATAAAGATATCTGTGTACGTCTGTGTTTGTATCATCGGATGGTACTTGGATTTTTCTTGACCGGTCGTTTCAACAATATGTAGCATCGATTTGGTAGTTGGATTGTTTCCAATGACAGTATTTTAAAATGATCCTCTCTCGGTGTAGCATGAGAAGCTGGAGTCTGTCAGCTCCAACGTCTCATGCGGGACATGAGAGAAGCCTCCCACAAGATCTGTGCTTCCTCTGGGCAACGTCTCTGTAGACGGCCAGTTCTCTCACACCAGAAGCTACTTGAAAAACTGCAAGTCGCTTCGGACACGATTAAACAAAAAGTGAAGCTGAATCATTTTTACATTTTAGAAAATATACCAATAAATTTCAGTGATTTAGGTAAAATCTGTATGTATCATTTTTATATATACGAAAAAAAGCACTTTCATCTAACATAGCATGTGGATGACTTTTAGATTCTCATATTTGTTATGGTCTATAGGAGTGGTGTAAAATTTGTCATTAACCTGTCCATTGATAATCTGAGGATACAAATGAAGAATCAAAGCACCTTATACTATTTGCTGCTTCAATTTGCTTGTAATTGCACCTTTTGTTATTCGCACACTTCCTTTTTTTTAATTGAGCATTTTTATGTGGTAATATTTGCTTCCTGTGGGATTACATATTTGACCTACAGTATCATCATGTACATGGTTTATATTTCAACTTTACATTACAATTGTGAAAATACAGTGCTTCGGAAATAAAAGCTACTTCCATTTGTCTACTTTGATTATTTCACTTTTCTCACATTTGGGGAAGAGGGTGACAGCCTTTCGTTCTTAATCTATTATTTAATCTATGTGACACACCTTGTAGCCTAGGAGCCACAATGGCGCAATGGGTTAATCCTGTGTTTCTCAACCTGGGGGTCGTGACCCCTGGAGGGGGTCGCAAGGGGGTTTCAGAGGGGTCGCCAAAGACTTAGGAACCCCTTTGGCAGAGAAGGGTGAAGATCTCTCCATCTGTCCTTCTCTTCCTTTTCAGCAAATCCTCCCACTAAAAGCCCTTCTCCACTGTGATTGGCCGGCCTCTCAGCCAGCCTCACAGCCAAGGGAAAGGCTGAGCAGGCACGTCTGACACATGGTGCGCACGTGCGGGCAAGAGACAGCATTTGGGGCTGGACGTACTGTTTGAGGAGGACATTGAGCTACATGTCCATGGTGCTCGCTAAAACCTGCAATGTCAGTTGCGGGAGTGCCTTTGGAGGCTTCTCAGCTCTTGGAACTATAACCTGTTTGTGGGGGCCAGAGGCTATCTGTGTAAGTGGACACCTCCGCAAAATGCACACATACACATTTTTCACTTTTTTATGTGGATAGATAGATAGATAGATAGATAGATAGATAGATAGATAGATAGGTGAGGAGCAGCAGTGGGGAGGATGGCATACCTGTTCCCAATTCTGATGACAAATACAACCCATTGCCCAACCTTGTGGAAGATCTGGCTTTATATTTGCTACAGCAATTGCTTTGCTTACTAAGCAAGCCCTTGTAGCTTGAGGATGATGGTCTTCCAGATGTGGTGTCTTGGTGGTATGTCCGTAGGTGGCTGTGGAGCCCTATTCTTGATCCGCATGTTCTCCCCAGTGAGAATATCGGTTTCCAGACAGAAGGCGGTCATGATCAGGGTTGACTTGACATGCCTTTCTCTTGGCACGTTTCTCCCTTTCCACCATTCGTGCCTTCGAATTCTGCAGCACTGCTGGTCACAGCTGACCTCCAGTTAGAGTGCTCAAAGGCCAGGACTCCCCAGTTCTTGGTCTGGTGTCTTGGTGGTGGGTTGGTAGGTGGCTGTGGAGCCCTATTCTTGATCCGCATGATCTTCCACAGTGAGGACATGGATTTTCAGACAAAAGGTGTTCCCAGTCAGAATTGGCTTGATGCATCTTCCTCTTGCACATTTTCCCCTTTTGCCCTCCATTCATGCATCTTTGAATTCTGCAGCACTGCCTGTGAATTTACCTACACATTGTAAAAACCTAACATTAAATCAACAAAATGCAGTTTACTTTCAGTGCTTAGTTCTTAAATAATTATTTTGCGTGTTTTCAGTCCTTATTTATTTATTTTATTTATTTATTTGGAGCATTTATTAACCGCCATTCTCAGCCCACTCGGGCGACTCACGGCGGTGTACAGTACAAAAGGCAATTCACACAAAGACAAGTACAACAGCATATTAACCATACAACAATACAACAGTTAAAATTACACTAACTAATCCGCTTCGTCTCGTAATAGAATCGTGACCAAACTCGTATTCCTTGTACCATTCCAGTCGTCTTTACCACATTACTATAGCACTTAATTAAATGCCCTCTCGAACAGCCACGTCTTGAGGCTTTTTCGGAAGGACAAAAGAGAGGGCGCCTGCCTGATGTCTGTAGGGAGAGTGTTCCACAACCGGGGGGCCACCACTGAGAAGGCCCTCTCTCTCGTCCCCGCCAGGCGTGCCTGTGAGGCAGGCGGGATCGAGAGACAGGGCCTCCCCAGACGATCTCAAGGTCCTCGAGTTGGCCTCGTTCCCCACAGTGTACGCATCTCAGAGGTGTCCTCGTATGGGTCTTTTTTTTTTTTCTCTGATGCTGGTGCCAGAGATTGCTTTTTCGTATCCCTGAAAGGTTATCTTTTGGGCCTGAGCCGTATTGTGTTCAGGGTGCTTTTTGTTAGTGTCCCACATAGCTGACCGAGCGACCTTAACTGGGGGACTATGTGGGCCGGTTAGCACAACTCGTGGCAGCCAGTGTGAGCTGCGGACCCTCAACAGATAGTGTGTGTTGTGCTTGTCTCCCTTGTAACGTGCACCTGCGACACGAGTTAGGAACGATGGCGTGGCCGTCGACTTCCGGTTCATCATATAGGCTCAGCGTTGAGTCTTCGTGTCTCTGGGTCCGAGTGCGTTTTCTCCAGGTGGCCTAGGTCTGCATCCGCCCCACTGCGCTGTCACCTCTT